ATAATGGGCACCATGCTTCACAAATAAATCATTTGCACTGTTTAAAGGGAGCTTATTTAATATCAAGCAAAGTGCGTTATCATAATCCACACATAGACAATGAAATGATTCTTTTAGCAGGAGGTACCATAACTAACATCTATAAATTGTACTACAAAAGGCATTTTTGTAGTTTGTATGTTTTTGCGTGTGCTAAATTTTCTATGGACAAGGATAGCTTTAGCATAGATAGAACATACTTGTTTTAGAATATTTATCATCCTGCATACCTTTTGTGATCAAATGACTTAGGTGTTTATATTGTGTAGTGCATGCGAGAACCGTTTTAGATAATGTGAAACAAGGGCTATTTACAAGGGGTTTTTAATTAAAAAAAATATTATTTGAGACTTAATATTGATATAAGCTATATCATATTTCACAGCAAACCTAAAGCAAAAGTCATGTAAGATTGGTGCACACAGGACAATACTATCAGCACAAAGATGATGGTTAATGAGAGAAGGACCCAAGCACCAGCCTATGGTAGTTTAATTAGAAATACAGCTAGAATATCAGAATAAATAAATACAGTTATATCAGAAATACAATTTAGGAATGTTTGCATAATGACAGTTGCAGTTGATCGGCCCATGAACTCTGATTTAAGATGACAAGTTTTAACCATACCAAGTTTGTCATATCAAAATAAAAATAAAAAGTCCATTTGATCCTTATAAAAAATTTGATTCATGGATTTATCAAATGAATCAGTGTAACTTTCCAGGACTACTTTCAAAATCAAGGAACTTTAGGACTGGTGGGGATCCTGCTTTCATCAATTATTTCCATGCTCTTTAGCTTTCTTCATTGTTTTCTGTTAAATCCCAACTTGAATAACAGCTTGTTAGGAGTGAATTTAAAAAAAAAAAAAAAATGAATAACAGCTTGTTAGGAGTGAATTAAAAAAAAAAAAAAATGAATAACAGCTTGTTAGGAGTGAAATTGAAAAAAAAAAAAAATGAATAACAGCTTGTTAGGAGTGAATTTGAAAAAAAAAAAAAAATGAATAACAGCTTGTTAGGAGTGAAATTGAAAAAAAAAAAAAAATGAACAACAGCTTGTTAGGAGTGAATTTGAAAAAAAAAAAAAAATGAATAACAGCTTGTTAGGAGTGAATTTGAAAAAAAAAAAAAAAATGAAGGTTAGTTTAAGGTTAAATTAAGCTTAGTGTAATAGTTGTCAAATATATGAACCTGTATTGAATTGTATTAAATGAACAGATCCTTAGACTCGCAGTAAGCAGTTATAACAAGCATTTTAAAACTAAAGCATGTTTTATAAAATGATAGAAGAAAATACTAATTTTTTTATTTTTCTATTACAAAATAACTATAATAGAAACACATATTAGAGGTATTCCATGAGAAAGTGGGACAGACATGTAATTCACCATCTCAGATTTTCTTCATACTTTGTAAAAATGGTCACCTATATAACATAAACTACATTGTAAAAGCTTAGGACTGATATCAAATGGATTTTGGAGTTTAAAATTTTTTTTTGTTTGGTGGCCATTTTGATTTTACTATTGTTTTCGTTTTACTGTTCAACTTAAACATGTAATTAAGCTGAAATTAGCACCAGTATAGTTTTTAGGACAAGAAATCAGAGGATGATATTTGTTGTTAATGAAAATGTTTAGAGCTATATTAATATGGGGATTGAACTTCACCTTTAGCCATTTTTAAAATTTTAACAAAAGTGGAAAGAAGGCCTGGTAACCATGGTAGCATAAAATTTTTTGTGATTATTTTTGTTTTTATTAAAACAGGTATGAGGAGTTTTAAGAGATAAAAGATATAAGAGATGTGGGTTTTTTGAAATTTTTTTAAAAATATAAGAGTATTATGTGAAAAAATAAGTATTAAAGGTATGTGTTCATGATTTCTTTTTAAATTAATTGATATTGACAATTTTCATTAGTCATCAAAAATTATACATAATAAATCTCAATTAACCTATTATTTAAAAAAACTTTAATTCAAACAAATATTTTTTTTAAATAATTTTTTTCCTTCTTATTAATGACATATTATATCATCTTTTACTAAAATAGAAGAAACACTCAATATTAAAACGCTAGGCCTTAGTATTAATCTGACATATTACCAGCTGTTTTCTTTTCTCTCAAGTTGATCATTAAAATAAAAAAAACAAGTTATATAATCAAAATTAAAAAATGATAAATGTTTGATATCATATTTAAGAATACTAATGACAAAAATTTTTTAACTTTTTGTGTGTTTAATTATAGTTAAATAAAAAATAAAAAAGAACATGATTTTTTGTACAGTTGGTATTTTATCAAATGATCAATGTCATAAAATGATTTACACTAAATCAAATGGATTGAAGGATTTATTTAGCTATACAGAGAGAGATAAAAAATTATTATTATGAACATCTGGGCTATCAATATTAAATGTTAAAATCTGTTTACATAAGGAGCAATTTTTACTTAACCAGTTCCAAAAAAAAAAAAAAAAAAAAAAAAAGTTTGCTAGTTCCAAAAAAAATTGTTTCAATCCAATTAAAAGTCATAAAACTAATATAAAAGGTAAATTTATATGTTCTTAACTTATTGTGCTGTCTTTTTTAAAAAAATACATTTAGTACACTTTCAACTAGTTTTAAAAATTCTTATTTTTTTATTTTATTTCTAAAATTATTAAATCATCTAAATTATTTTTCCAATTTTGGCAAACTTTTTTTCATTTATAATATATTTATAAGTGGTTTGCAAGAAATTGATATTCAACGGGCAAAAGATATGTATTCGATTGGTATTGAAACAACACCTGGTTTTGGTGTCCTTCATGTCAAAAAAAAGTTGTAAAAAAAATAGATGATTGGTCTACCTTACAGGACCACAATGTTGAAGATGATTTTCTGGAACAAACGTTTTTTGATGAAGTTATAGAAATTGCACAAGAAAAAGAACTTATAAACACCAGTTTTGATAAACTAGATGTATTGCCAGTAAAATTTCATAGGGTTCCACAACATGCTAAAATTTCTCTAGGGAAAAGAAAATTAATGCAAGCTACTCATGTTATTTCAAAAAACTATCAGTTATTCTTAACATTAATGCAACAGACCTGAAAAATGATGTTACTGAGAAGCCCAATGTTAACCATCAGAGAAAAACTGAAGATCTAGATGAATACTTTCTAGATAAATAGTTCAGTCAGCAGTTGCCTCGTATAAAAGATTTTGTGAGTGCATTCAAAAATAACCATGTATCAAAGCAATTACTTCTTTGGACATTGAAGGATTTATTTATTGAATTCAAACTAGAGCAGCCTCAGTCCCAAATAGGGTTTTCTAAATTTGCTTAGTTAAAGCAAAGGTGGTGGATTAATGCTGGTCAAAGATGAACCCATGCTGTTTGTATGTGTACTATATACCAAAACCTAAAGCTTATTCTTAGCGCAGTTAAATTGGAGAAGAACTTCCATGAACTTATTGAGAAGATTGTTTGTAGCAGAGAGTTAAGGGAATGCATAGTCCATAGATGTAACTGTTGCCCTGGAATTCAAGATATTATCAATTATATAACTGCGAATCTATTGCAAAATGATTGAACCTTTGAAGAGAATGACAAAGTTGATGAAGATGAAATAATTGAATACACACAGTGGAGTACAACAGATAGAGCAGAGCTTCTAAGTTACACATCTACAGTAGGCCAATTCATTGAAAGTCTTAGTGAAAAACTTGATAGCATAACATCTCACTCTTATTTTTTAAACTCAATATATTACATTTATTATGAATCTTTCATTTTAACTATTCGATAATGGTTTTTTTTTTATAATTGAAGTTTTTAAAATAAGTAGTTTCTTAACAAGTAACATTCAAATGTACTTTTTCATCATAATTTGTTTAACTATTTATGAAAATCCTCTAAAAACCTACCTCTTAATTTTACACCAAAACATTCTTTAATATATCTATTTTAATAAAAACAAAAAAAAATTCTCAAAAAAATTATGCTACCATGGTTACCAGGCCTCCTTTCTGCCTTTATTAAAATTTTAAAAATAGCTTAAGGTGAAGTACAATTCCCATACTGATAAACTTCTAATTGTTTTCATTAAAAACAAAAATTATATTCTGATTTCTCATCTTAAAACTATACAGGTGCTGATTTTCAGCCTAATCACTACTTGTAAAACAAAAACTATAGTAAAATCAAAATGGCCACCAAAAAAAAATACTAAAAATAGCTGATTTTAAAGTAACAATATCTACAAAACCCATTTGATATCAGTGCTAAACTTTTACAATGTAGTTTATGTTATGTAGGTAACTATTTTTACAAAGTCTGAAGAAAATCTGAGATTATGGGTTACAAATCTTAAAAATTTATCCTACTTTTTCATAGAGAAATTTAAGAATAACTTGAATATTCTAAATCTAAATATCTAAAACTAAATATCTCTAAATAACTTCAAAAATTCTTTTTGTTAGTGATCTGTTTTATGGTTCACTATTTGTTACCAATTACTTATTTGAGAATAATTAGTCTTTCTTTGACCACTTAAAAGCATGTTTAGTCGAAAGTTCAAAATATTATTTCAAAAATTGATTTTTGATGAGTAATTATAACAAAATAAGTGTTTAAACATTATTTTTTAATCAGGATTCAATTAGTGTTAAAGCTAACATTTAATTTTTAGCAAATAGTAATGTAAGATTATAATTTAAAAAATTAGTAGGGTAAAACATATACTGTGATACTGTGATCGAATTTAGAGTTAAAAAAAAAAAACATCTTATTTTGCAAAGCAGACATCTAAGCATCAAAAGTTAAAATACTTAAATGTTGCCTAAACTTTATTTTAAAATCATTTTAAATACATCACTGTGCTTATTTACTTCAGCCCAATTTATTTTAAAGTAAAAACACAAAATACTGGTTGTAAGATGATAAAGTAATCTAATAAAAATATTACCTGCCAGAATAAGGTTATTGATCCTATAAATACTTTGTTGTAGTGGAAGAATAATTTCATTACGTCTAGGATCAACTGAAACATTTAAAGTAGGAATCACAACTTTGTCTGAATAAAAATCAATATTGCTGCGAGCTTTTTCATATGCAGTGGATGGTATTGAAAACCATCTTTTTAGTGAAAAGTGAAACATCAGATATGAGCTATCTAATGTAGAATATCCATACACATTACCATCAGCTGATTGACCAAAAATTAAATCAAGTCGTTGGTGAGTATCTTAATAAAAAAATTACACTAATATTCAAACAAAGTATTAAACAAACAAAAAAAGTGTTATAAAAAATTCTCATGTACTGCAGAAAAGTGATATTGTTTGAAAAAAAATTAAAATAAAAAAAAAAAAAGAAATTATTTTTACGAAACTGCGATGGAAAATCAAAAAAACCTGTTTTTAAAAAATAGCCTTTCATACAAGCATATTTTGTGAAAATTATTACTATTTTTTTAAATTATATCATGATTTACTTATTTCATAAGTTTGTGAATTTCGTTTTGTAATTCAATTTTAGTTTAAAACAATAATTTGTTTATTTTTAAAATGTCATAAATAATTTCAATTTTTTTTAAAAAAAATAAATGTTTTATACAAGGAATACAGAAGCATGTCTAAAAAAATACAGCCTGCAAAATTCAGGTCGGTTTTCAGCAATGCAGACGCAAAAGTAGACCTATCTTTACTTCGCAATGTCATACAACTGCTGACCTGAATCTCTTAAAGTGTCGGCATGTAAAAATAAATATATGTAAAAAAGATGTATTAATTTACTATAACTCATAATTTATTTATTGTAATTATTTGTTTTTTCAAGTTTGACATGTTTGACGAAAAAAAAAATTTCTCAATTTTTTTCAATTAATTTTTTTCGTTTTTTTTCTCAAATTTATTAAAATATAGCAAGATATTAAATTAAAGAATTTATTAACCATTTAATAGTTGATAAAAATGACTTTCAAATGTCTGTTCTTCTCAGGCTTTCTTATTAAAAATTTTAGCGCAATCAATATTACATGTGAAGGAGAACCATGTTAATTAAAAAACTAATTAAAGAAAAAGAAAATGGAAAATAACAAATGTAGGAGAAGTAAACTCTTACTATTCATTTTTTTAAACAAATTGCCATTGAGAAAATCTTAATAAATTAATATCCTAAAGCACATAAACTAAATTTGTATATCTAAACAACGTTTTTTCTATGAGCAATCTAATGAACAATAAAAATGTAATAAATAAACTATGATTTTTTTTGTTATTAAAAAACAAGTTTGAAACTAAAAAATCACTAATTTTTAAATTTGCTATATACTTACATAAAGTTTAACTGTTATATTCTTTAAATTATTATTGTCTAAAGCTATGCTCTTATAAATCAATTCTTTTATAATCAATTAATCATTACCCCTTTTATAACAAAAAGCAAAAAAATTTCAAATAAATATTTTGCCTAGTACGGTACTCTCATGCTAACCTGAAATCCTTCAAATTTGGCAGGTTGGAAGTATGGACAAAAATCAATGTTTTATACAAGAAATATGCAAAAAAATGATTTACAAGCATAACTATAAAAAAAAATGTATAGTTATAGGATTTAAAACAATTTTTATCCATTATTAAAAATTATTAATTCTTTATCTGTTATTTGAGATTATAACTTTAATTTATCTTCTCAAACAAATATTTAATACTATTGTAATTTTCCTTCAAACATATCAAGTGTAAATAAATATTGGTTTGCTTTATGTAAAAGAACACTTTTGTGGCTACAAATGGAATTGTCTATAAACAATTCTCATGTACTTATTTTGTGTAAGAATCCAATTTAATAAAAATTACCATCAACATCCCTGCATATAATAATTTTGATTTATCTCTCATTTTCTTACATCTTAATATATTGACCTTACAGAAACAGCTGCTTGTAGTGTGGTTAGCTGGTTTTCATCACACCTAAATGACTAATAATATGCTTTTTATATTTTATATCTGGTTTGCCAGCTCTTCAAAGCTGATCTGCAAGTACCACAGAACACATGAAGAGCCTATCTCTGATCCTCATTATCTCATCATCATTTCGATATAAAAGTATGCTGCATATCTTATCAACAATTCAATTAAGTTTTCTTTTTAATTCAATAAATTTATAACCAAATGGATTTCTACAACTACGTTTCTGTATTGTTGATTATACTTGCGTATTACACTGTTTGTTGTAATATCAAAGGTGAGAGTCTGGTTATATAGTCACCATGCATTGAAGTCTACTATGAGGTTTAGTTTTCATCTTATTTGGCTTTTCTTGGAAAATTTAATTGTTTTGATAATACCATTGGAGTTTTTTATTTTGCATATTGCAATTACTCACTCACTCAGTACTAATGCTCAATACATTTTTAAATAAAAAAATTATTATTTTATTACCCAATTCACGACACTAAAACTGAGTTAGAAACATAAATTTAATGTAATTACAGCAAACAGTACACCTTCAGCTAGTTCCATTTGATTAACTTGGTGCAACAGATGAAACTTTCCATAGTTTTGAACTTGGGTCTTGAGGCAATGTCTTAGAAATTTTTTTTTTCTATCATTTTGATGAGTTTGAATAAAAGTAATGAAAAACCTTTTTTTCACTCGGTCACTTTTGTTGTTAATATAAGAGATGGCCTAAATTCAAACCAAAGCCAGAAATCACATGGTTGAACATGTTTACAAAGTGAACTCTAAATGGCGGTGTCTCGAGTATAATATCAATAAGAGTTTGGCAACAAATTTTAAATTAAAAGAAATGTTACAAAAGACCAAATAGTCTTTTTGATATTGCCCATAAGGATACCATTTTAAAAATAAACATACTGAAGAGGACCAACTGTTTCTATTTGCTTAGTGTGAGAAAGGTTGCAGAGGTAGATGAGGTGGTGTAAACAAATTACTTGCATTGATGAAAGAACAAGCAATAAAATGGAAAAGTTATTCATTTAAATTTTTCATCAAAAATAAATTCTATTGGAACAATAACATCGATTTATTGGAATGATCGAGATATTGTAACAATAACATTGGAACTAACATCGACTGTAATTGTTACTTATAGTAGCAGTTACAAGTGATGCTGTAGCAAGTGAACTGCTGCTAGAACTTGCTTTGTGATTTGACACAAATAATAAAAACTTTAAAGTGTCAAACAGATTCTAAATATTGCTATTTTCAGGAAAAATATTTTTACAGCTTAAACTATAACTAGCACCAAGTAACAGAGAGTTTGAGAACACTTTGCTAACACATTTATCTTTTAGAAGCATAGTTGGTTGCAACAAATGTTATAGGTTACAGTAAACCATATAAATGGACCAGTAAAAAATTCAATAACTAAGATCACAGTTTGTTTGTTATATTTTATTTTTATTTTCATAAAATTAGAATCAATGTTACATTACTATCAGTTATAATGTTTTTTATATAACAGTTATTTATACACGGCTGTTTCACTCAATATAAAAGCGAGCCTGACGTCACGAGTTTATCAAAAAAAAAAGTATTTCCGCATAAAAAGTATAAAAATTCATTAACTTTAAAATAATAGTATTTTTTTTCTATAAATGCTTTCATCTTCAAATAAAAAAAATATAAAAGATCTATCTTTCCTTGTTAAATAAACATTTACATTAAACGGAATAAAAATGAAAGCTGTAAAAATATTGTTAATAATTTGGCATCACTTTTCTGATTTTTGCGATTTTTACGCAAAACCCGTCTTAGGCCAACTAAGATTTGATAACATAGCTACATGGTCGATGGTTGAAATTTAGAACAGTTATTAATGAATGTCTGTTCTATCTAGATTTCCACAGACTTTGCAAGTTTTTATATAGAAAGTTAGTTTTTAATGCATTTATATTTTTGTTTTTATTCGTTTTGAATAAAAAACATAACATTTTTAAAAAGTCTGTGGATTTAGTAATACTTCAACCTTATATGAATAAGAAAATCAAAAAATTATTTTCTGTACCTCTAGCTATGTTATCAAATATGTTTTCAAACTTGGCATGTTTAGCGACATTTTTTTTAGTTTTTTTTGCATAAATTCTTGTTTACATTTTAAAGCGGTGACGCAAACTCTGATCGTTACGTCCCCAACGATTATCGGATGCATTTTAAGAAAACAAACAAAACAAACGAGACACATTTTATAGAATAAATAACAAAGTTTCACGGATTAATTTCTCTTGGATATTTGACTAATTTCAGATAAGTTGATTAATCCGATTTTATCTAGTGCATCTATTTGTCAATATTATTCTATTTAAGTTGTTTGTATTATAATTTTATTACTATATCAATAAAGATTATAAAGCAAAGTTTCGTGGATTATTTCCTCGTGGATATTCGACTAATCTCAGATAAGTTGCTTAATTCTTTTATTTTTAGTGTATTTATTTGTAAATATTATTTTATTTAATTTCTTTTATTATATTATTATTATAATATCATTATCATTATTTTTGTGATGTATGCAACTGAGAGGGAAATTTTGAAACTGTACATCGGTTGGGAAGATGGTTGGGAAAATGAGTATAACTTTAATTTTGTAAAGCGAGTAACTGACACTAGTAAGATCACTAACAATGTGATTTCAATTTTATTAACAGTTTTTCATCCAAAAGCGTTGTTTACTTTTTTAAGTTTTCTTTTGCCAATTGAGTTTAATATGCCTAATATTGATGTGTTAAATAAAATGTGCCGAAAAATAAAACAAAGAAAAAAAGATTCTAAAAAGTATTTTGAAGCTTCAAAAAACGAAGCATTTTTTAAAATGCAACTATCTCCAGCTCCACAAACAAAAAAACAAAAAAAATCAGCAGATGCAGATAATTTTTATATTTTAAATAGGAATAAGGAACTAAGTAGTCAAGTTGAACAATTAATTTCTAAAGAAAAAAATAATGTGGAGCAAATAGATAATTTAAAAATACAGGTATCAAAGTTGGAAACTGAAGTTATATATTTAAATTCTAAAAACAAGGCTCTCAACGCACATTGTAACTCATTAAGTTCTCAATTAGAGACTATGAGTATTAGGCTAAAACAGGAGGAGCAGTTCCAACTTTTAAAAAAAAAAAAATTAAAAACAGCACACCGTAAATTTGCATCTGCTCGTGCCAAAAATGTAAGATTGCTAAAAAAATTTAAATTTGAAAAAAAAAATGCAAAAATCAGTGATATAAACAAGAACAGTTGCCAAATTTGCAAATATTTTGCTAGCAGTGATAAGGATTTAGTTGTCGTTGATTCTTATTTAGACTATGACAACATTGGTTCCTCTGAATTATTCTGTGGGTTTAAATTAAGTAATCCACAGACTATATCAGTTAAAAAGCCAATAGTTGGTAAGAAATATACTTACATTAAGTTAGGAGATGGTAAATCTTATTCTAAGTTAGGTAGGCATGCTGCAGCTAGACGATCTAAACTTGCTTTTATATTCCTTCGATTATTAGCTTGTTCAGATTTGGAAAGTGATTTGTCTATGTTGTTTTGTGATTCTGTGTCTTGTGAAAAGTCTATGTTTCATTGTGTTGCAAATAAGTTGGGTTTAGTTAGGCAGTTAAGTGTTTCTGATGCTGTAGAGCTGCAGAGCCAATTAAGGATGCCCACGGCTGAATTCCGTAGGCTAAGACCTATTCTGTGTAATCTTGGTGCAAGGATTCTCCCATCTGAGCCCAAGATAAGACAAGAACAAGAAATGCGGACAATGCATGTTAGTAAAGAACATGTTACTGTAAAGTCCATGTTACTTTATCCATCTGCGAATGAAGCACCTTGTTTAGTACCTGTATTGATGGTCAAGAATTTGATAACTTATATTGAAGAGGTTTTCAATAGTCTGCACGTTCGTGACCACTTCAATTCTGAAGTCGGTTTTTGCGAAGAGGTATGGCTCCTTTTAGCTGGGGATAAGGGTGGGAAGTATATGAAATTCCATTTTGAAGTTGTCAATTCTAAATCATCAGGGTCTGTATATGATGTTCATTTATTTTGTATGTATCAGGGTTCAGACTGTCGTGAGAATATTGCCTTAGTTCTCGGGCATTATGCCAACGACATTAAAAGAATTCAGTCGTCAGATTTTAAGCTAAAAGGCAAAATAGTCAGGTTGTTCTTAGGTGGAGATTTTCATTTTATCGATGATGTTCTGGGACACCAGGGTTCAGCTGCTAGCTTTCCTAGTTCTACAGACCTAGTTAAGTTGAATTCTCTAAGAAACCATGCTTCTATGCCTCACACACCTGCTAATTGTAACATCTTAAAGAGAACAATACAATCTCTGGAAAGTGCTTACAATGAGAACTTGTGTGAAGATAGACAAGGTGGAAACCTAAGAGCTCTAGGTAAGTTTCATAATTCAATTATTGCTCCTGTGATTTTTCCCATAATAACTTTAGATAATGTAGTGCCACCTGTTTTGCATATTATGTTAGTAGTTGTGTTAAAACTTTATAAGTTATTGTTGAAGGAGTGTAAGACTTTGGATTGTCAAGCTGTTTCGTCTTTGTCGCATAATGAGAATGTGAGAACGAATGAATTGTGGGCTGCTAAAAGCTTTGAATGTTCTAAAACAGCAGACTCTTTACGTTTATTAGGAAATCAATTTGTAGACGTTGCAAATCTACAGACTCGTTGGTTAGCTTTTGATAAAAATATTTCTGAATTGGAATGCATATCTCTAAACTCCTCCAATAAAAAAAAAACCTGTAAACAGCAAGAAAAGTGTGCTAGTATCAGGTGTTTAATTACTAAATATGATTGTAACATTGATTGGGTGCAGTGTGGTACGTGCCAAAAATTGTTCCATCAATTTTGTGAAATTATTGGTGGTTCGGAAAAGAATGTATTGTGTGATATAGAGAAGTATGAGTGTTTAGCATGTCAGGGTGAAGATTTAGCATGTCTTGACCTTTATATTTCTGAAAAAATTTCTTTTATACGCGCACAGCGCAAAGTTTTAGACGTTGAGTATATTCGATTGCAGATAGAGTGTGAAGACCTAGAAAAAATATCTATAAGTAGCATGGGGACTCATGAGAGGTCTCTTTATAAGGCCCTTGAAGATATGAAAGTTGAGCGACAAGCTTACCATGGTAATGTATTTGTAGGTAATCATTGTAAAATAGTATTAAGAAACCACTATAAACTTTGTAGTGTTATTGATGATGAAGCAATTAAAAATTGATTTGTACGTGTGTTTAGTGTTTTTAATAACTTGCAACCTATTCTTTTTAAGCAAAAATTTCTTTCTGATGCCGAAATTTCTGAGCTTCATCAATATATAAATTTATTTGCTATTGAGTTTCATGCTTGCTTTCCAAAAGAAAGTATCACGCGAAAAATGCATGAACTCATTTTCAATGTGCCACTATTTGTAAAATTGCATAAAACTATTGGGTTGCTGAGTGAAGAGGAGGGAGAGTGTTTGCATAATAGCGTAAATAAGGAATTAAGGCAGTTGCATTCAGTTAGAAATCAGGAGCAAAAGCTGCATCTTGTTTTAAAACGCTTTGAATTGCACAGCAAAGCTGATAGGAAGCTTCAAGCCTCTAAGGTGAGAGAGTGTGTTGTGTGTTCAGAGCGTGGCGAAAATTCATTTTATAGACAAGGTTTTTGTCTTGTTTGTGGTCATCAAATTTAGTTTAAATGTTTGAAAAGTTAAAAAAAAAATTAAACTTTTTACAACTAAGATAAATTATATAAGATCCTTAATTTACAAATAAGAGAATTCTACTCTGTTTTAATGCCTGTAATGTTTGTTCAAAATAATAATAATTTTTTATTACAATGATTTTATATATTAGGTAGATGCCCATTCTGTTCCTATTTTCAAAAGTTTATTATATCTATGCAATGCCTTTGCTCAGGTTAAAGAATGGAATAAAAGTCTAGCATCAAATGTATAGCTAACTATTTTAATTTGTGATCAGAGCAACTGGTATGTTTGTTGGATATGATTTTGTATGTTTATGTAGTTAATTCAAAAAACGTTTTATCCTTTGTTATGTAATATGTAACATTTTTTATATATATTAGATCTCCGTTCAATTTTTATCATCAAAAGTTAGTTCTACCTTCGCAGGACCTCTGCTCTACATACCTCCTCTCTGGTTAAAGAATGGAATATAAGTCTCATTTATCAAGTTGGTGTAAAAATTTAGCTTGATAAATTAAGAAGTTGTAAACTTTATTATCACAATTGCCAAGTTGACCAAATGTTCTTCTGGTTTTAAATGAATTATGTATGAGTCTAGTATCATCTGGGTGTTCAAAGATAGTTTACTGCTTGAAGAACTTATCAATGGACCAACTAATTATAAAACAGTTTTTAATGAAAATAAAAACGAATTATCAAAAGATTTAAATCAGCTATTTGTGTATATTTAAACACTTTATTTTTTGTGAAAAGAGATTATTGATACAAGTACCATAAAATAATTGTACTACCAAAAGCTAGGTTAATTCAAAACCTTTAACTCAATTTTGGTCATGAATTATTTTATTAGAATTGATGAGTTTTTATTTATTAACTACCTAACACCATATTATTAGAACTTTATTTTGTAATGTAATGATTTTATCAGCGTTCCAAAATAATTTTCTAAATCAAGAACTTCTATATTAAAAAAAGTACTCATTTAACAACTAATCCCCCCTTATAACGACGTTTTTCATAATTTTGCGAAAAATGTGGTTTGCTTTCACAATTCGATTAAGGCTGTTTTAGTTAACCTTAAATAATTAAGTAAGGTTTTTTTGTTTTCATTATTGTCAAACAATAAGTGTATTTGATAATAACTATTAGGAATATATTTTTCTAATTTTTTTTTTGATAAAAAGTAACATCAAATTACAAAAATTTAGCCAAATTCAATATATGTCATATTTATTCTAAACTAAAAGAAGTTTTTCTACTAATGCATTAAATGTCATAAGGTAAAACATTTTATTGATGTCTTAATTGTTTTTACAAAACAAAATTACCTCTTATATTTCAAAAGTTATAAAAGTTTTAGTAACACCCCTTTAGTCAATATTTTCAAAAATTAACAAGAAGCCGTTAAGCTCGGTTTGAAACAGCCGTGTATATAACATATATAATATATAATTTATAACAGTTATTTATTATCAGAGATAAAGAAAATTTTACTCGTTTTATAGTTGTTTATAGTATTGTATTGAATATTGAATTAAAAATGGTCAAACAATTTTTCAAACTACATCTTATACTACAGCAGAAGACAAAAAAATTCAAAACATTTTTTACTACTTTAGTGAATTTGCAAAACTTAAAGAAAAATAAAAAAAAAATCTTGCTCAAGATATCTATAAAATTTAATTTTTTCAAGAGGTTGAAATTTTGTTTAGGACCATTTTATTGCGATGAATTCATTTTGTTGTGCAATCTCATTAAAAAGATCATTCATTGGTTTAAATAGTAAAAAGTATTTTCATATTGTTTACATATTTTCAAATTTCCTATCAAAAAAATAAACAAATGACTTGTCAAAACAATTTTTATTTACTTATATTTACATTGGATTAATAAACTATAAAAATGACTTTTACTTACACTGCCATGTTTGACCAATATCTTTCGATGATAAACAGCCATATTTTCTATTATAAAAATGATTGCAATAAAACTTGCATTAAGCTTAACAAAAGAGTATAATTAACCTATAAAATTACTTATGTCACAATAAGTTATGGCATATAGAATTAAATTTAGTAGTGTTTCATTTAAAATATTAAGGGGCTATCCATAAACTACGTCATGCTTTAGGGGGGAGGAGAGACAATTTTGTAATAATTTGTTATGAGGCGGAGGGGTTTCGATTTTGTGATGCAATATTTATTTTTTTTAAGTTTTAAATCTAGAGAAAACTTTCTTTTAACTAAAAGAGTATCTGACCAAACCAAAACCCTCAGTTGATATAACTACATTTTGATTGTAAAACTATGCCTAAATCTTACTTAGTCGATGTGCACACTCTGTTAATGGAGTAGTTACAGCCTGTTAAAGGACTGTTATGGCTGTAACAGTTTATGTGCAGTGCACATTCTGCACTTTGACTTTATATGGTCCAAGTGCAGAACTTTATTTAGTTGATGCACTAAAGTGTGCAGCAACAAAAAAACAACCTTTTGCACTAACTATAAAAAAAAAAAAATTTCGATACCAAGAGGTGAACCCGGAATCCTTGCTTTACTAGCCTGAGGCGGAATCCACTCAGCTACGCTAACATTGCGAGTTCAAATTAAAATTATATTTATAAAATAATATTTTTTGTATTTATAATATATTATTATGTATTATATATTATATATATAATATTTTGCATGTATTATATATAGGAAGAATAGGTTTTTAAAATTGGTATCATTTTTAGGATAGCGATGTTAATTTATACAGTTTTACACGGAACTAAATACTCAATAAAGTGTTAAGGGTGCGTTACAAGGGATGCGTGGGGGGGGGGTCAATAAAATGTTATGGGTGCATTACAAGGAATGGGGGGGGAGGAGGGAGGGGAGAGGTTAAAAAATGTCAAAAACTGCGCGACCTAATTTATGGACAACCCCTAATGTTTGTTAAAAAATAATTATTAAAAATAAGATAAAATATGCTAGTAATTTTCTATTGAATGCCGTTTTCCTATTGGAACTTAATTTAATTACTACTAGAAAGCATGCACAAAGTTGGCTACCTATTTTTCTTATAGCTTCCACACACATACAACTCTTCTGTTTTATTTGCATAAAACAAACCACGAAAGTAAAATTCTAAATAAAATCACAAAACAAACTAAATATACTCAATCAATTAAAAGTTCAATTCGTAAATTACTTCATAAATTTTATTGATTATATAAAAAATTAACCTGGTATAGTGTATTGTCTAAATTGTAACGTAGAGTAAACACCAAGTTGAGTATCAAAATAATATTGTTTTACTAAACAAACATCAACATCAACAAAAATCAAGTAGAAAAAAATATTATTATAATTTGTTAATTTATAGTCTGAGAGCCAAAAAGTTAGAATGAAAATAATACACATATAGCAAAACTATTTGAGATTTGTTCTAAAGGTTTAAAGCCTTAAACCTCAAAAAAGATGTTAATTTTTTTTAAGATCAAACAAATATAAAATAAAAAAATCTTAATAAGTACTTTTTTTTGTAATATTGAAATCCCATATATACTGATGATTTTTTGAAAGGCCTCTAGTGCTTAAAGTTTATTTAATTAATTGTATAAAAATACTTTGTATTAGTGTATTTTTTGGAAAAATAAAAAAAATATTTTTAGTAATAAATATTTTGAGAAAAAAAGATTTACTTTTGTTTACTGGCTTGACTATATATATATATATATATATATATATATATATATATATATATATATATATATATATATATATATATATATATATATATATATATATATATATATATATATATATATATATATATATATATATATATATATATATATATATATATATATATAATATATATATAATATATATATATATATTATATACATATATATGTATATATATATATATATATATATACATATATATATAATTTAAATGTATATATATATATATATATATATATATATATATATATATATATATATATATATATATATATATATATATATATATATATATATATATATATATATATATATATATAAAATATATATATATATAATATATATATATATATATATATATATATATATATATATATTATATACATATATATATATATATATATATATATATATATATATATATATATACATATATATATAATTTAAATGTTGACATCTTGTATGAGAGTATATATGTTAAAAATATAAAAACTTCAATTAATAAGAGTTCTCTCGATGCTATTGTTAATTTATTTGTAATTTTCACAAGATTATAGTTACCAGCATCATCAGCTATAATATTGTAATTAAAAATTACAATTATGACCTTTATAATAAATTACAAAAATTAAACTTTGTTGTCAGCGTTAGAACGGCTTCTTTCACACAAAAATGCAAAAAATGGAGTCTAAAATTTAGTTTTAACGTATTGTCCATTATCTAAATTTATTCTACCATAAATTGGAGAGCATTGATGTTTTTGAATCTCTAATGCTTCACAAACTTTCCTATCAAGATTTGTCTTAAGAGCCCTTTGAGTCAATTATTATCCCTAAAACCTAAAAAAATATTTTGGAAAGTTGGTTACCGCACTGTTTTTAAATCTAATCATAATTTAAGAACTCTACTAACATCAAAAAACAAATTGAGGCTACCGGACAACAGTAAACCTGGCATTTATTTAATTGATTGTAATTGCTCCAAAGTGTATGTTGGTGAAACAAAATTACAAATTAGAACAAGATCTCAACAACACCAAAAATGTTTGATGGAAGATAAGTATTATCAGTCGGCTATAGCTCTTCATAAAAAAAACAGGAGAAGAAATTAATTGGGATAAAGTTAAAACACTTAAAGAAGAAGACAATAAATTTGATAGGAAAGTTTGTGAAGCATTTGAGATTCAAAAACATCAATGCTCTCCAATTTATGGTGGAATAAATTTAGATAATGGACAATACGTTAAAACTAAATTTTGGACTCCATTTTTTGCATTCTTGCGTCAAAGAAGCCGTTCTAACGCTGACATCAAAGTTTAATTTTTGTAATTTATTATAACGGTCATAATTGTAATTTTTAATTACGATATTATAGCTGATGATGCTGGTAACTATAATGCAGCAAAAATTACAAATAAATTAACAATAGTACTAAGAGAACTCATATTAATTGATGTTTTTATATTTTTAATATATATATATATATATATATATATATATATATATATATATATATATATATATATATATATATATATATATATATATATATATATATATATATATATATATATATATATATATTAGGGCAGGCTACAGTCCCACATAAATTTTTCAAAAAATTAATTTTACTGTGGCTGTTTCAAATATTGTTCTTTTTACTATAAAAATCATTTTTTGTTATGAAAGTGTTTATGTAGCACATCTCTAAGTACTGCCGCATTTCATTTTTAATGTGAATTTGAAATCTAAACGAAAAACACAAATCCTCCATTACATCTGTTCCGTTATTTAAATTATTCGGTTAAATACATACCAATACTTGCGTTTTTTTGTAAACAAACTGAATATGCGTTAATTTTATGATGTGAAATATTTAAATCAGACTTGATATAGTTATGCTAAAAGTACTAAGAGTTTAGCAAATAATACTTTTTTTTCAATTTAACAGCCTAAGTATCTTTCTAATAAGATATTTATATTTTATAGATATTTATACTTTTCTTGTAAAACAAAACAAAACAAAAATCTTTTGTTCTGATATTTATAGATTTTTATTTTACAACACAATAACATTATTTAGTGGTTTTCATACAACAAAGAGTAGCGGTATTCATTGAACTGTGTTCAAAGATATGTGTTATTTAGATTAAAACTCTGTATGTTTATCTTATGTTTATTTTTTTACAAATTGTAGGCCTATATTTTAACATAATGTTTTTCAATAAGCATATAGTAACAGATTCAACACCAACTTACTGACTATTTATTATTATCAGCCAGGTTATTGTCTGATCGTAATATAGCAAATTTATTAAAATCTAGCACGCCGCTGTCATTTATCTTATGTTTATGTTATTAACAATACAAAATACTTAAGTGGTTAATACTATATGCTCATCTTGTTTTCAATTCCAGTTTATATGTAATTCAAAGTAAATATTTGATAAAGAAAATGTCACTAATTAAACCAAAGAAAAATGACATTGAACCAACAAAATTAAAAAAATCGGTTAAAAAGAAATACTTAAAAGTATTGAAGTCAACAAACAAAATATGGTTGGTTGGATATCCTTTGGAAAACAAGCTCTTTGCCCACTACCAGAAATGTTTATAAATTTTTCAGGTTAGTTAATTTTCTTTTATATTAAGACTGAAGTTATAACTTTATGTTTTTGAAAGTTTTTTTAAAGGTTTAAATTATTTTCTTCTTCCTATTCAAGGTATCACTTGCAAGTTATTGATAGCTCTTATCAAGAGTTTACTAAAGTTAGGGAGGCATTGCACACTCAAAGCAACATTTCAAAATCTAGGTTAGCTGCATTGCTTACTATTAAATCAGTCAAGCTCTTTTGGGATAAGGCTGCCATTCCTTATAAACAAGACAAGTACAGTATTGAAAATATTTTAAGGCTACATGAAAAATGGAGGTTGCTTTCAAAATCTAAAAATAGAATTTCTAATAAGAAGATTTTACTTGAACAAAACTTTATTCAATCATTAGATGGCATTTTTGATATTAGTTCTCCTAGTTGGAAAGATGACATTAGAAAAACCAGATCAGCTAAGGATGCCGATGAAGACATTGCCTGATTTACAGCTCTTCAAAATGGAATAAAAACTGGAGGAATTGGTGTAAAAGATAATGTGCTACATTCTAGTGTTAGAAGAAAAAAAGAAGGAATCGAAAAGAAACAGGTTGCAACTGAAAATGAAAAAAGAAGAAAAATAGATGATGAAGAAACTGTTCAGTTGGTTGGTTATAGTAGTGACTCAGCTGAAGATTCTTATGTCACTAAGTCTAGTCGTTCTATGAAGTCTGCATATCAAAACTCTCCTATAAGTAATCCTGAGTTTAATACTTCTAAAAGGCAGCAAGGAGAAAAAAAAGACACCGGATCAGATAGTATCACACTGGTTTTGCCAAAAAACTTAATTTCTCACCCAATGATAACAGCAACTGCAGATAGAACTAAGCTATCAAATCCTCAGCTGATGATGAATACTTCTGCCATTCTAGTTTTAGGTTCGTTTTTTATTATTAAATAAACAAGATTATTGTATACAATCTAAAAAGAAATTTTAAAACTTTTAAAACAAATCTCAGAGCAAAAGTTTGAGTGTTTAACTGTTTTGGTCAGTGGCTTTCCTAATTGTGTTGAAGGAAAAATATTATCAATAAAACCTATACAGTTTGGAACAGGACTTGCTATTTGTAAAGGAACCTTGGAAGACTTAGAGGGATGGGATCTCAAAGCCAACATTAATGCCCAGGTTTTAGATACGACTGCATGTAATACAGGAGTTAGGAATGGAGCTGCAACTCTTTTAGAGGATTGTAAATCAATGAAAACTCTTCTTAGGCTGGCTTGTCGCCATCACATTTTAGAATTGATCTTGGGAGCATTTTGGAGCTCCTTATTTAAAAAAGAAAAAAAAGCTAATTATAATATAGATTTCAATAACTTTCAACAAGAATGGATTTGCGCAGAGAAGGTTCCTCTAAAAAAACTAAACAAATTTCTAGATCTTGAAAATTCTTTTCTTAAAACGAAAGCAGACGAAACTCGTGTGTTCTTAGAGAAACAAGTAAAATGTAAGCATCGCAGAGGTGATTACAAAGAAGCTGCAGAGATAGCACTTTATCTTTTAGGCAAACCAGAACCTAAAGTATGGAAAACCTGTGGAGCAAATCATCATGCCAGATGGATGTCACACTTGTTGTATGCACCGAAGATCATCTTTAAAGAAGATTTACTCGATTCTGATATGGAAAAGTTAAAAATCTTTTTGACTTTTAGCTCAGTTTTATATGTTAAAGCTTGGCTAGAAGCAACAAAAGGCTCTGATGCACCAATTAACGATATTAATTTATACAATGATCTAGGCGCTCTAGAGCAGATCTCAGGCTTCTCTGGCAGCTCAAAAAGCTCAAGAAGTTCTTAACAGGCACTCATGGTATCTAACTGAGGAGATCTCAGTCTTCAGTCTCTTTTCAAATAAGGTTTCTGCGAAAGAAAAGGCCAACATTGCATTAAAGTTATTAGATGTAGGAAGACCACTTGCTATCAACTCTGGAAAACCTAATCTTCCATCTATTCACAAGAACTTAGAGATATTGCCATATATTGGGAAAAGATCTTGGTTGCTCTTTCATAACTTAAACGATAAAGGTAAATGGCTCAAACTTCCTCCTTCAGAATGGGAGGAAGATGGAAACTTTTTAAAGATGAAACATTTTATCAAAACAGTTAAGGTTACAAACGATGATGCAGAGCGAGGAATCAAGTTATGTTCAGATTATCTTCAGATACTCACAAAGGTGAGAAAAAGGTATTTTTAAAAAGTATTTAAAGTTTTATTCAGATTTTTTTTTACAGAATGTTTGGCTAATTTTAGGATGAGGCAGTACGAAACGAAATAATAGAAGTCATTGAAAATCATAGAAAACTTGTTGGTAATTTCAATAAGAAGGAATTATTTTCTGACTTGGTTCAATTCAAATAACAATTTTCGTTATACCATTCATCACTGCACGAGATAGCACCTTGCTTATATATAATGATGGATTCGTTTTTTAAAGTTAAAATATATTTTGTGTAATAATTAAAGCATTTTAAACATTTGGAATAGATGCTAAATATGTCCCAATACCACATCACCTAAGTTTTTGTAGTGATATTTTTGCGTAAAAACGCGAATCTTTAAATAAAATCCGTCAGTACTTAAAAACATAGAAAACTTTTTTTTTTAAATAATAATTTTTGTATGGTAAGGAACAACTTTTTATGCAGCCACGTGTAATTTTTGAAATTTTTAGATTTTGGCCTGCCCTAATATATATATATATATATATATATATATATATATATATATATATATATATATAATATATATATATATATATATATATATATATATATATATATATATATATATATATAATATAATACTCCAATCTATTTGTCTGTACAGTCACAGAATATTTTGAGTTCATGAATTCATGAGCTTGATCTTCTCTGGTATTAGTTGATTTTTAACATTATTTGACCCTGGGGTTTCAATATTACAAAAAGAAGTACTTATTAAGATTTATATATATATATATATATATATATATATATATATATATATATATATATATATATATATATATATATATATATATATATATATATATATATATATATATATATAATATATATATATATATATATATGTATATATATATATATATATATATATATATATATATATATATGTATATATATATATATATATATATATACACATATATATATATATATATACATATATATATATATATATATATATATATATATATATATATATATATATATATATATATATATAATTAAAATATATTAAATAGAAGTTATAGTATTCAATGAACTTACAATTACAGTTGTACCCATCTCCAAAATAGGGAAGTTTACAATTACAATAAAAGGTGCGAACTAAGTTTATACAAATACTGTAATTTGAGCATCCAGTGTTTGTTTGACATTCATTGAAATCTAATCATAATGAAATAATAATCTAATAAAATATTTAAAGTTTTTAAATGTTTATCATTAACATTCAAATTTGAATACTATTGATGCATCTTTACATAAATTAGATTAGCCTTAAGGTAGCTCAAAAAAATTTTATAAAATATTTTTTCCCTTATTTTTGTAAATAGTTTAAAAAAAAGTGTTTTAATAGTGCGCAAAATACTATTTTTTTAATTTACTTTTTATATTCAATATCCATAATTTTGAACTTAGGTAGTTTTGGTGGGTTTCTATAATGCCATAAAGCTCCTTCTAAAAATCAGAATTTTTTTCTCTTCATTAAATTGTCTTCACCGTGAAGTTTTCTTCACCTATAAAGTTTTACCTCTTCTAACATAGGATTAATTTGATCTCATGAACATCTAACATTTCAAATGTCAAAATCAAAACTCATGTTTAGAACTATATTTATAATTAAATTTTTATTTAATTATAAATAAAAATTTAATTATAAATATAGAACTGTATTTATAATTTAATTATAAATATAGTAAACATTCATGTTTATGAACTATATTTATAATTAAATTTTTTTTTAAGTTTAATTATATACAGAGTTTCTAAAACATAGAATTATAAAATTGTATGTTAAAGAATTTTACAGTTTGTAGTACTTTTACTAAACAAGTAAGAGTAAATTTCTTGTAAATTTACCTTACTTATATAAGATTAAAACTTTAATCTTTTTATAACTTCTGGAAAATAATCAAGTATTCTATTAAGAACATTAGTATAACAATATAAATTACTTGTCTGAAATGTTCAACATCCATTTATCAATAGATAGAAACATAAATAATAACAATTTATTCAGAAAAACTTTTATTTAAATGTATAGAATAAATTTGCAAAGTTAAATTATAATATTTTTAATATATTATATATTTTTTTTAACAACAGTTTTTTTTTCAATATATAAAAAGGAAAAAAAAAACTAAAACACTTTCAACAAGGTTGCAAGCAATTACTATTATATTGGAAGTTACTAGATTTAAAAAATTGTAGATAGTATAAATCAGAAAATATGAACATGCAAGAGAGTTCCAAAGCATTAAAGTGCAGGGGAAAAAAAAAGATGAATAAAAGTTTTTAAAGCATTAAAAGACAGATACAGTAAAAGGATTGACTTTGCTTGCAAATGAATGAGTTTTGGTTGATGGAACTAGATATAACAGCTCCTTTGAGCAGCAACTTTTTTTTAAGAAAACATTTTCATTTTCAATATGGCTGCAAGCAATCACTATTAGAGTTGGAAGTTTCTAAAAGAAAAAAGATGAAGTTTATAAAACAAGATAATGATTAACAGACAACTTAAAAGAAAGACCAAATTATATGAATCAAAAAAAAACAAGATGAAGGGAGGGTATTCTAAGGAATTGATGTTTGAGGAAAAAACTAGCCAAATAAGAATTTTTGGAGCACTTAAGAACAGTCACAGTAAAAGGATGAAAATTAATTTAATGACAAGTAACACGAAAATGAATTATGGTAGATGGCAGAAAAGATGCTAGCTCTTTAGAGCAGTATCCATTACAGTATTTATAGAAAAGAGAAAGAGAACCAACATTACAATGATGTGACAATAGGTGAAAGCTGGCTGAAAGAGCAGGTCCAACTATGTTTATAATTCGTTTTTGCACCTTGTCTAAAAGAGAAAAGGTATTATTCAAAGATTCCCTCCAGATATGACAACATTATTCCATACAAATACTGATTAGAGATTTATAGAGATCAAGAATAGTATCTGGAGTAAAAAAGTGACAAGCACGATAAAGAGATGCTAATTTTGTAATGGACTTGATAAATGGTTTCCAAGAAAGATCAGAAGTAAGAGTTAATCCTAGAAGACAAAGAGTAGATGACTCATTGAGTACATTATAATTCATAAATTTAGGAAGATTTAAATTGTCGCAATAATGAGCTGAAAAAAATTTAGTATTGTCTTATTTAAAGTTTAGCAGCCACTGAGAGCCCCATGCTGTAGCAGAAGTGAGATCCTTTTAAAGCTCAAATGTTCCCTCTAAACAATTAGAGAGTGTTGACTTCTTATCAAAACAAGAATAAACGGCAGTATCATAGCTTAGATTTGTGAAATTCTGGGAGACCGTTAATGTAAATTAAAAAAGTATATGGGTAGGAACACCTGAAGCTACAGGAAATAAAAAAATGTGCTGTCCATTGAAGACAACTTTATACTACAATTGGTAAGACCTGACTAATAAGTCTTACAAAATCACAATCTTTTTCTTTTAAAGATATTGGTAAAAATGCTTTTTCAATCTCTGCGATAAATGCATATTTAACTTTAAATTTGTTAATAAAACAAAAGGTGATCACATTCTTTAATTGATGTTAAATGAAAACAAATACACTTGTGTCAGACCACTACTAAGAGAAATTGATGTTAAATGAAAACAAATACACTTGTGTCAGACCACTACTAAGAGAGCTCAATGTATAAAAATAGTATGTCAAAATATTCTTGACATACTATTTTTTACGTGTATGTTTTAGAATGATATGTTACCAAGCATTTTCCAAACTTATTTTTTTCTTAAAAACACTAATATCATACTAAGTACTCAATAAACAACTTTGTTATACCAAAAGCTTTATCAAAACAAGCTGATTTTTCAATATCTTGCCGAGGGCCGTGGTTCTGGAACTTGTTTCCAACAAGTAATATAAAAACTTTAACTTCAACTCAACATTTTAAACATGTAACAAAAGAACAATTTTTTTGATTTTGATACAAAGCAGTTTATATCCTATTAATAAAAACTTTTATTAAACTTAGTTATTGAATGTTTTATACATTGACACAACATCTTTATTTATTTTATATGGCTTTTAAAACATGTATGGTATTATTTTATTACACTGACACAATTTGTTGATGAAATTTATTGATAAATAGTAGAATAAAAGAGAAAATTTAAAAAAATTATAATAATTTTTTCTTTTTTTTTCTTTCTTTTTCTTTCTTTTTTTATTCTTTCTTTTTATTGCAGACAGTAAATTGATTGTTGAGACAGTTCTCATTTTCTTTCTTGTTTTAAATTTTTATCAGCTGTATTTCTCAGTTATAATTAGCAGGGCTGAATGATAAGACCTTGTCTTCTGCCAACTTTGTTCAAAATTTTTATGCATTATATTTTTATGTTGTAAAAATATAAAACAAAAACGCACCCTCATTTCATTTGAAGTTTTTTAAAAATTAACTTTTATCATTAAATTGAAGGAAAAGTTTATAGGGTTTATTTTTATATTGTATATTTATAAAATTTTTACGTTAAAATTAACATTTTATTAAATATGTCTTCTAATTATATTTTATAATACATCATTTTCGCTATACATAAAGTCTTTTAAATGTGATTTAGTTATAATTGTTAATAATGAGGATGTCTTTTCATGTTACTAAATATGCCATATGCAAATTCCATTGTGATTCTTTAGAATTTTTTTATAAAACAAAACACACAAGGCAATAGTTTTTCTATCTAACAGTAGTGTAACAGTTTTTCATATATTTCTACCTAACAGTAGCGTAATAGTTAAGTAAACAAAGGTATAGGTGATTGCTGATATCATACTTATCTTATATTGCATACATAGTAAAACATTAATTTAGTATATTGTAAAAAAAGTTGAAAATTTATTGAAATATATAACAAACTATTTTAAAAAAATTGTTTACCATGTGTATAAAGAACTTCAAGATGAGCTCTATCAAAGTGACCAAATTTTGTGCCATTGATCGTATTTACTTGTCCATAACAATCAAATGCTCCATAGTAGTAAGCCAAACCCATATAAGTTATTTTTTTAAATACTGATGCCATATCATTAGCTGACGTAAAATTGGTAGTTATAGTCAAACCTTGAATCCCATAGTAGAGATTATTATTCTTTAGAGAATATTTTACATATAACCTTTTACTTTGATTTTGTGATAATGTTTTACTGTTGATTCTATTAACTGCGTACATGGTTGAATAATAAAAAGGTGCAGCCATTGTAGTGCAATTGAAAGTGTCTATCACTGGTAAGGTAGGGTCAGATAAAAAACGACTGATAAAAGAATTTCCAAATGAAATAACCTTAGGTAAAGCTAAAAACAAATTTAAACTATATTGCTACGGTGTTAATGTTAACTTTTTTTGAACTAAACTCAAAAAAGTTTTCAAGATAAATGACTTTTAAAGGTTATAGATTATTTGCAAAACACATCTATTCTTACCTCATCCAGTTCTTACACTGAATGGTCTAGAGGTAAAACTCATTAGATATTAAAAGAAAAGGGTAAAGATTAGCAAATTTAAAAAGGTAACAAAATAAACAATCAATCCCACCAAATAAAAAAAATATAAATAAAAATAAAACTAACAACTATGAAAATATTTGAACCATCTACTACAAGCAACAATACCATCAACACATTTAAAAATTCCAATTTAAAAATGACATTGTATACACTAACAACCCAATATAGCCAATTTTACAAAGCAATTTTACAAAAATGTGAGGCAAAATTGAATAATGAAATTAATTTGAAATGTTTTCTGCAAATGTCATGTTTGCATTTTTAATCTTATTCTTTTTATACTTAATATATGTGTTTGGATTTCATTTCTTAAAAATGTGTTTGGATTTTCAGAAAACTTAGGAAAACAAAACACTGCAGTGTTTTGTTTTCATAAGTTTTCTGAAAATGTGAAATTCTGAAAAAGAAAATGTGTTATTTTTAGAAGATGTGATACATGATGAAAAAAAGCGGTGATACATGATAAATCAAGCGGTGATACATAAGGAAACAAGTGGTGATACATGATAAACAAGCAGT